GGAATAAGAGGGAAGGTGTTTTTGCTGCATTAGGGAGAAAGCAAACCTCTTCAAAAAAAAAAAAAACCAAAACACTGGCAAATTGGACATGAATTCAGTGCTTTAACTAATTTGAAGCAAATAAGTGATGGGTCAAATTATTTCACTGGTATAATTAAAAAATGCCACCATCTCACTCAAAAGTTTTTAGAAGACCTAGACATTAATTAAATTATGACATTTGCTTGCATATCACTTCCAATGCCTGAAGATCCCTGCATAGCTGAGAAGACCCTTTGTTTCCTATATATTCTTTATATTTTTGCCCTAAATCAAAAGGCTGAACAATGCAAATTACAAAATACATGAAGTCAGCGACTTTCACCTCAACATTAAGAATGATGAGTCTGTGAGAGACAACAGTACACAATTTTTTGTCAATAGCACAATGATTTAAAAGCCTTTTCTCCAGGGCATGGCATCTTTTCCTAGCTGAAAGGGCAAGCTTAGGCTATTGCAATGTTAAGCAGCTGATGAATGACCTTGTTGTCACACTTGTTTTAGGGATTGATCATGTCCAATTAATTCCTAGAAGAAATCAATTGTTCTTACCTAGCTCATTTACATTAATGAGAAAATATTAACGACTCCACAGTCTATAAGTATTGGAAAGAGAGGCTGCATTCACATTTCAGCCTAGTGGTCTTTAAAGAGAATTAATTATCTCCTCCTGTGAGAGCAAAGCAAATATAATTTTTTTTCTCAGTTATTCAGCATTAAAACCAAGTATTTATCTAGATATTTAACTGAAAATTTAATCATCTAGCAAATAGTCTTGCATTGCTGTCTTATTTTTATGGATGTAATATTTATTATGCATGATAGAAAGCACATGATAATTTTCCTCCATTGCTAACTTTATTTTGAACTATGCACAGGAACTCAAGACCACAATTATGATTTCCCGTTCTGAGTCCAACATGCCATAAGAGGAACAATGATACAAATGTGCAGGTAAAAGCAGTACATATTTCATTACTGGAAATTATCCTTAGGAAAACATTCAAACAATCTTGGCGGTGGGATTTAAAACTCACAACAATTGCCAAAAATCTAAATAGTGCTTTATCAAATGCTGGGATTAGTGTGTTTGTGAGCTACATGCTATGAAAAGCCCATGTCTGAGCAATCATCCTGAACGTTCCTCCCAAAGGAAGAAATACAATAGGAAGGTGCAGCTCAAGACAAGATTCACAATTTGATTGCTACATTTTCTGTTCAGTGCATACTGCTATGATTTCTGGTAAAACGTACTAGTGAAGTGTTACAGTAAATTGATCACATAATACTATGGAATTTATCATGTAATAGAAAAGGAATTTAAGAGCTGCATACCTAATATGATTAAGAAAATGGGCTTGTGGATAGAGACAGAGGATATGGTTTATATTATTACCTGATCCTAGACTACATTAAAGAGCCAGTAAAATTAGAATTGCAAGGACAAAATAAAGGTTTAATAGGACTTTTCAGTTGGAAACTTCTGACTGGCTAACTTCTGACAACCATGGGTGTTTACTCCCTGCATCTCCTCTACTTCTAGAAATGACCCTTGAGCTTGGATCCTCACATTGGATCAGAAGTCCAAGCATATCTGTGTAGAGAGGCTCTGCTGCCACCCTCTGTGATACCTGAGACGAATCAAAATACTAACTGTAAATAAAATGCCAACCACTCTAAAGATCTAAGGACACAGATATCTAGTTGTGAAAGAACTGACATAGTGGAAAATTATTTGCATATAATTAAATATTTTAAATAATATCAGTAACTCTAAGGTACAGGCACACAAGGAATTAAAGGATAAATTAAATTGTCTTTGTAGGCTACCTTTGAAAAACTAACACAGAGAATGAACCTTAATTATGTGTTATTCTAGTCTAGTTCATTGATACAATCATTTTTTTATCCTAGAACTTTTAAAAATAAGTACATAGGGGAGAACAAACAGGCAAATTTTTCCAGGTTGTCTAGCATCCCTTAATCTGAAATTCAGTAAGGTGCATAACTGATTAATAAAGAAGGATGTGTTTGATTAACTCCTCATGAGACAGATACAATACTGAGAGCAAAATGCCAGTGAGAAGGACTTATATTAATGGCTAGTTTTCCAGACCACACTTGTGATAATTCAAATCTATTTTATACCAGGGCAGGTATAATGCTGTTTCTTTGGTCTCACCTCTGTGAGACCAGCCCCTATTTAAATAAACAGCTTCCTACCCTACACAACATTTCTCATTCACTACTTTAATATTTATTGCCAGTTAAACCACTGATCAATGTGGTCATTTGGGCATACAGAGGATGAGTGCTTTAGAAGAATAGCCAACATCAAATCAAAACTCTTCTGATTTTTTTAATCACAAAATTATCAAGCTAATGCTGTCTCCAGCAGTAGCAAAGCCATTCAGTTCTGGTGAAGGGGAAATCCACCCTTCCTCAAAGGGTCTTCAAAAGTGAGCAGTCTTCCACCTTTTCTCCTCACCTTTTCCACTTGCACTTTATTTATTTTTCTGCAATTCTGCCCAACAAATAAGTAAGCTTCTCAAGTACAAGGTGGCTATGCTACTACTGTTTGTTTTATTCTGAATGGCAATGATGTAGCACCTTTGCCGGCACTCTGCAATGGGTTATTCATCCAAACTGTTCACCAGGAATAAAATTTAGCTTTAAACCTTCCGTTTTTCAGAAACAGCAGAACTAAAATTAGCCATACAACTTTAACTCTCTAGTTAAACAGTATCTGAAAATGTTACTTCCATGTGATTAATTATTAGACTAATTAGATTAGTCTGCCTTCATGACCTAATAAATATTCTATTACACATGAGAAGGAAAAAAAAAAAATCATCCTTCATGCTGACTGAAAAGAACATTAGACCCTTATTCACCTATTTGGGAAAGGGCTGAGGGAAAGAAACCTTGTGTGCAAAAAAAAAATTCATGCTACTGCATTGTGACAATCATGCTTGCGTATTCACCTGAATAGTACCAATTTGCTAATATTGTTTTCATAAATGAACAATTTATTCTACATCATTTATCTTTATTCTAGTATCTGTGTACGTACTGCAAAATACTAGAATATTTAATTTGCTTTCTTCTAGATCTTATTTAGTACAAGGGAACAGACACTTCACAAGAAAAATAAGAAAAAAGTCAACTTTGTATCCAGATGTCTCCTAGTATGTCATTTGTGGAGTTACAGTTCTGTTTGTCAAGGGGTAAGTTGTTTTTTTTTTCTTTTTTGGGAAAAAAAAAGAAACATCAATAGTAGGAAAATGTCTTAGCTGTTAACTGGGCAAGTAAGATCCTCCTGATTCATTCTACAATCCTTACCAATCTTCTAAAACACAAGCATAGCAGTTTCTTCAATCATCATTTGATAAATAGCAGAGATCTGCTTCTCCTTATTAAGGGGGGGAAAAAAAGAAAAATGAGGAAGGTGATTGTGGAAGAGGCCTCAGCCTGTCATTTACAGTGTCTTGCTTCCCATGATAGTTGAGATTGTCAAGCGTTTACACACATTAGCTGCAAATACATAAAAGGAGGAGGTTCCTTTCCTGTTTATACTTTTATTAAAAATGGAGTTCCAGAAAAAATTCATTATTTGCACAGCTACCTGGAGAACTCAACAAGCATGCTGAAATAATAGGGAATGCGGACCAGTGTGTTTGTTCAATGAATACCATATGGATTTTGGAATTTGGTAATCAGAGATCTGGCCTCTCTTTATAATGTATTTGGGACAGATTGGAATATTTTTTGTGTAATTGCTATAACCAGGTGCTTTTGTCTCACTGCAGTTAAACTACCTTTTTACTATCCCTGTTTCTGTAAGGAAGACAGAATTGGAAATCATTATATAGGGTTTACACTGGCCTATCTCTTGCCTGTTCATGCCCATGATTATTTCTTTACTTTTTTAATAAAATCACTGATGGGCCTATTACTTCCTAGCTATGCCAGTAAAAGATTCTGTAGTTGCACTTAGTTATTAAAAGGTGTAATAAACATTACTTGAAAGAAAGACATATGTCTTCATGAACTGAATTTTATTACACAAAGCTTATCAAAAGGAAGACTTGAAATACTGAAAGAAGAAACTCCCTACAAGGATCTGATTTCTTCTTGAAATAGTTAAAAGAATTTATAGTGAACAATCTGAGAATAATTAGGCAACATATCTAACCTGACAAGCAAAACTAAGACTTAACTCTCACTGAAATTTGTCCCAGAGATTCAGATACCTGGGAACAGTAGGATTTAATTGTTGAAGTTTGGTTTGATACTACAACATTTGCAAGGTTATTGCAATATTTGTTAATCACCCTTAAAATATATCTGGGGAGAAGCAAAAAACTTTGTCTAGCATCTTTGGGTATATTGTTCATCAGGAACCTCTGATAGCAGAAAGCATTCTAACAGACAAAAAAATCCTATGCCTGTTAAAAGCGTTAAGTGCAAGCTAAAGTGCAGAGTTTCCACACCAAATGCCAAAACTACATAACACAGGGAACTGTGGCTAGACAACATAAATTCAAACTTCATGCTTTACACTTCTAAGCAGTTTTAAACACTCACAGATTTCAGACAGATTTTTAGAGAGATTTCTTTTTTATTTTTTTTTTTTTGATACCACAGAAATACTCAGTCAGGAGGTCCACTGACATTGGTGTCTTTATAGACTGACTGCAAGTTCCAGAAAGGGCAACAACTCCACTTAAGACACAGCAAAACAACTGCCACAGTTGTAGTTTTAGAATATGTTCATCCACAGATCTCCTTAACTTGCCTCACTGTAACATAGCAAGGAATGCAAAGAAAAGTTGTACTTTCGACAGATTAGTAGGATGTCCTTCTAACTGCGTAAAGGGTGTTACCCCTAAGTATCTCTTCTCTGTTAGAATAGGTGAATAATAAGGACTTATTTATGTCTGCAATTACTTCCATACAAGTTTACATAGGCATAATTTATTTCCTATGATAAACAATATTCAATTCTTGCACCAATTGCTTCCATTTCAAAAACCACAAGATTCTTCTCACATGACCACCATGACCAGATCAGAACTGTCATATTTTCTAAATAGAAAATTACTCCATATTTGAAGCAGAATGGATTTTCCTCATTTTATTAGATAATTAATCAGCAAGTACTGAAAAGGAAGGAATTTTCTGTGTTAACCAGAAATGACAGCACAATCACAAGAAAACACCAGACCACCCTGGAAGACTTCAGAACCTGATGCAGTCAGAATCATTGTGACCAGCAGTTACAATAACATTTGGTTTTCAACGAAGTGAGGAGTGGATGTCTTGCCTTTCACATCAAATAGAGTTAACCAGATTTATTTGATTTTATTAAGTTTCCACGTTGCTTTTGTGTTCACGCATTAGTAGCCTACTTCCATCAGTAAGTCAGTCCACACACTTAGGCCACGGACTTTGAAGTCTCCATCTCGTGTCCTCAGGAGCTCCAGAGCAGCTTGGGTCTGTTCTCTGAGCAGTGCAGGTCCCTGACAGAGGCAGATGAAGCGCTCCCTTAATTCCTCCCAGGACAATTCAGCTTTGTCAAGGCAACTTTTAACCCACCGTCCCTGCAAGGGGTCATAGACCAAGCGGCTTCCCCAGCTGGTTAAGAGGTCTAGATAAGATCTGCTTAACTGGGAATAGTGCCCAGCTAGGAAGGCAAGCTGGGAAGACGGGAGGCACAGGCAGAAGGCAGAAAATCGTTCCTGGTTGCCCAGCAGCCAGGAAAGCAGGAACCCGGCGGCGCATCCATCTCCTGCAGCACCGGCTTGGTACCCGCCTTGGCTGCTGCTCGCAGCCCGGTCCGCGTCCCCGGTCTGCTCGGTGTCACATCCCTGCGCCAGCAGCGCCAGCGCCGCCGCCACCACGCCGCAGGCTCGGGGCTGGGGCAGCTGCTCCAGAGCACCGCGCAGCCAGCGCGGCTGCCCCGCGGTCTCCTGCCCTTCCTCCCGCAGCAGCTGTGCCTCAGCGCCCTGCCCTTCCTCCCGCAGCCGGCCCAGCAGCAGCCGTGCCTCGGCCTGCAGCTGCCCCTGCGGCCCGGGGCCCGACGCCAGCAGGCAGGCCGCGGCCTTGCGGCGGGCCAGCAGCGGCAGGCCGCCGGGATCGCGGCCGCTCCCCCCGGCGGGAGGCTGCAGGAGGCTGCGGAGCAGGCAGCGGCAGGCGGCGGGCGGCAGAGCGCGGTTCTCCAGCAGCGCCAGCCCCAGGAGCTGCGGGCAGCGGCCCAGCGCGGGGAAGCCGAGCACGGGGAGCGGCTGAGAGCGGCGCAGCCGCCGCCCCAGGGCCTCCCGGAGCTGCGGGCGGGCACGGAAGCGGTGGTGGAGGTGCTGGAAGTAGCGGGCCCACTCTAGAGCCCTGTCCAGGGTGAGGCAGTCCCAGTGCCGCACCTGGGCGGAGCGGGACACGGCCAGGAGCGCCGGCAGCTGCTCCACCTGCCTCAGCACGGCGTCCATGGCCCGGGCTGCCCGCGGGGGACGGCGCTGTGCCTCACGTCAGGCGGGCGGGTCGGGCTCTGTGAGGGACTTCCGCCCATCACCCACCGGCGGCGGGAAATTCAGCCGAATTGAAACGAGAAAAACAACTGATCACCACTTTTTTTTTTTCCTTTTCCCCTTTTTTTTTCTTTTTTTCTTTTTTTTTTCTTTTTTCTTTATTATATCGTGTCGCCGAAAACCACCCAAAGGACGCGAGGTGAGCCGAGCAAAACAGGACTATCACTTCCCGCGACCGGCCGCTCTGTTTATGCTGAGAGGTATAGAACGGTATGTACCATAGTATTCCTAATCGTCCCCTAAAAAATGAGCCTCTTCAGGAGCAAAACTGCCCCTGCCCCACCTTTGGGGGTGCTTCTCAATTTCGGTGATAGCTCAGGCCCTGGAAGGCAGCCGTGCCCAAGCTCAGCAGGGAGCTGCCCATCGCTACCCAGGGCTCAGGGTTCTGCCAGGGGCCCATTGCCCCACCAATTAATGCTTCATAGCTGATTAGCGATTCCCCATTAGTGAATCCTCTACTTCCACCTCTCTGCTACGTGGCAAGCAAGTTAGGCATGGCTTGATACAGCCTGTGTTGGAGTGACTGTTCTCAGATGCTTGCCTAATGTTCACTGCCTCAAGGACTTCCACTCAGCTGGTTACAGGTCCTTTCCCTCTATCCTCATCTCCTTGACGGAGCTACGTCCAGTGTTCCCTCGGAATGTGGAAGTGAGCAAGCTGGTCTGGCTTCTGGCAGCTCCTCAGGGTTGCAGCGGCATCCAGGTGCTGGAGCTGGGAGGTTTGGGAGCTGCTGGATACGTCTCTGGAGGTGTGCCAGCCCTGTGGCACAATCCTAGCCACTGGAACACGTCTGGAGATGGCAGAGTGGCGTGGTGCCTACCTGGTGAGTGGTGCCTTTGACTGGGCTAGGCTGCAGCAATGCCCAGCAGAGGAGGGTGGACACCCTTCTCACCCAGCCTGCCAGAACTTGGCCCTGTGTCCACTCCTGGGGACAGCACTGCCAACCTGCCCAAGCAAATCCTTTCGCTTTCTGAAAGGCACAAGTGAGACCTGGCACAGTAAGTGAGGTTTGACTGGAATTTACTGCAGGAATCAGCGATAGAAACCAAACTATAATACTGTGAGCTGCAATACTGTAGGGCAAACCATAATGCTCTTTGAAAGAGCATTATGCATCCTCATGCAGAATGTATGTTCTCTTCCATACATCCTAGTGCTGCAAATAGTTTCCTCCAAGCTTGTTATTAAGCAAATTGCATTTTTGGGTGATGAAGTGTGCAAGGACTCTTGGTAGCTTAGATAGTAAGAGACACAGCACTTGAAGCTCTGACTTCAAAGTAACCTGGATGAAAGACGAGAAAGATGACAACAACTTGCTTGTACTGCTTTCTTTTCCACTAAGAAAAATTGAAATGTGTGGACGGAGCCACTGAATCCATTAGAATTCTGTGTCTCACTAGGAATGTGCTGAGACACTGTCTTATATCCACAGCTCCTTGTCCTAAAAGTAATGTCAAAGCTGTTGGTGACAAGCTCCTCTAATTCATATCATGCTTTGAAAATAAAAGACAGAATAAAAAAATTGTAAGTAAGTTTAGATGCCAGGCTACCTTCTCTAGACCCTCTTGTAGACTGCCCTAGATGGTAGCTTAGTACAAATTTTCTTAAGTACACTCATTAAAACAGATCTCTCATCTGAATTATTATCCTGTTTTCTTATTTCAGTCCTATTTTCTTATTTCCTATTTTTCTTATTTCTTACTTAAAAAAAACATGAAGCTGTAGGCTTGATGCTCTAGGTCATCTTAGGTTAAGGGCCTAATACAGGCATTGGAGTGAAATTCTGTGGCCCTTGTTTGTGAGCTCATAAAAACCCCTCTATGCGTATGAATATAATGTATCTTAAGGTATCATTCTAAAATACATGGTTTTCCCCTGAAAAATCTCTTTTAAGTTAGCTATTAGAGAAAAATCTCTCTGTTAGCTATTAAACATAAAATTGGCTACAATATCTCTCATCTAGCAATTGTCAATGATGGAATTGCTATTGTAATTAATAACTTCATACTTAGCTATCATCTGCCTTACCTGTGTATTCCAGTGCATATTATAAAATAATATACAATGAAGAGAAGAAGGAGCATGCAAAATTTTCAGTTACATGCAGCTGAGTGCAGCACTTCGGGATGTTACTTTGTGTTTTACTTAAATGAAAAAGTGACAGAAACTTAGAGTGGTTGGAATATAATTCAAGATTGTATATATGGTATGTAATATGCAATACATATATTCACGTGTATTTATAGGCCTCTGGTTTAGTACTGCACGTCTTGAATGAAGGGTTGTGGCACAGAGGAAGAAAACTGTTTCAGTGAATTCCCTGTTTTATTTTGGTAGGGATGTTTTTGGAGGTGCATGGGCTCCATGTTATAAAGAATAAAAGATATTTCCCTTTGCATCAGGCAACTTTTCACAAGACATCTTCCACATTACTGTTCTTTTTCTTTACTGGATAAAGCATATGGGTTTATATTGTATGAGAATGTCTCTGTATGTCTCATTTGAAAGAAATCAATCATATTTGCAGCACCAGAAAGCTAACAAAAACAGGTTGTGAAAATCTAAGTTGTCTGGAAAAAACACTGTTATCAGGAATACTTTTGTATGTGAAGAGAGATGGCCTGTGTGTTCTAGTGAGTCTCTGACTGAAAAATTAAATTTTAATTTTACAAAAACTGAGTATTTCAGCATTTCTTTAACTTAGGGTGAAAGTTCTAAATTAAAAGTGTTCATCAAAAGGGCACAGTTTTACATCTATAATAAAATGTTTAATGCAAAAAGATCTTTCTGTATTTCTAGGTATTGCAGCTGCATTTGGAGTCTCCTGTCATGATTCGGATGCATATAATGAAAAAATAGAGCCTAATCTGAAGAAGCAGCAGAGTTTTGCATTTCAAGGAACGGAAAAAGAAACAAGGTGTCAGTGAGATGGGTATGATTCTGTTGCACTACAATATCCTATAAAATCCAAAATTCTTTCTCTACACTCACCATTAAAGGAACTCTTTTTCTTCTCTGAAGTTTGTGTTATTATTTGAGACCCTGCCCATTCTCAGAATGCATTTTAGGATCTTCCACTGCAAGAGTGGGATCTGTTTATCAGTTGTTTGATCAGATGGCGGTGGTACCACATAGCAATCAAATTAAATTGAAAAATGTGATATTTTTTCTTACAGGTGAATTATTTGCATATGAATTTGAGAGCTAGTACTCTCTTTACTATGACCAGTCTTACATCTAGCTAAGTAATATCTTGCATAGCCATAGGGTTCTTTCTTAGTAATCAGCACTATTACTAAACATCAAAATTTCTCTATCAACTCATACTAAGGGTGTTGCTACGTGATAGTATTGCTGAGTTGTATAGGTATGGTTTAAAAGTACCTGTACAGGACTGAGTTGGTTTTCTATCTGAGGAACACATTAGGATAGTTGGGAAATACTTGGGAAGAAAGTACTGAGAGACTGAGGAGGTGAGGTAGAGAGTGAGTAATGGGGAAAGGAATAAGAAAAGTTCATGTTAGGATGTCAGCTACAGTAAGAGCACAGAGATGGGGCAGAGAGAATGGTGAGTGGATTTTCAGATAGCACTGTGTGCAGTGTGCTTTCCTGCTTGATTACTTTTTTAAAAAGAACCCAAGAGTTTTTTTCTAGGCTTCACATAGGTCTTGGTTGTTTGATATCAACCTACTTCCTCTACTAATGATGCTTGTCTTTCATGCTGTTTTTTGGGGTGTTTGGATGTGTATTTCATGTTATGTAAACTATAGAGTCTCTCTATTTTTACCTAACAAGAAGTGAAACTCACAATGATACCTTAAAGAAAATCATACAGAAGAATTTTCACTTCATTACGGAGTCTGAAAAAATAACCTTTGTAATGTCTCATTTAAAAGCAAATAAGAAAATACAAGACAGAACAGCCTATGTTAAATGATAGGCTAGAGCCCAGATTTACCATCACAACATATTGGATTGTTCAGATGTCTGCTGTATGTGTGATAGTAGGTGTGATAGTGTGAACAGGCGTGACCAGTGTTTCTCATGCTGTAGGTTTTGTTTCTGTTTTGTTGTTTGCTTTGGTTTTCCCCAAAAAAGTCTAAAGTCTATTTTGTAATTTTTAAAATTTAATCTCTAAAATGAGCATTAAAATAAGAGTTTTGAGGATGTTCATCTATGGCTGTGTTCAGCTACAGTAAATGTTCCTCCATTACAGCTTTTGATTGATAACATACATGGCAAAGAAAGTTGGTGAAGAAGTAAGAGATACAAAGGTCTGAGAAGTCATTTTCACAGCTCCCTGAAAACAAGCCCACTTTTCAGTGGAGCACTGCAAAGCAGTTTCACGAGTCTTGCATTTAATATGAATTACTGTGCTGTTTTATCTAAGCTGAGAAGTCAAGTAAAAGATTCATATGAAGTTTTATGGAACTAGTGAGTTTCTTCACTCTGGTTACAGAGCCAGTAAAATTCACCCTGGCAGGAAATACCAGTTTTGAAGCAAAATTGGTCAAGGTAGCCAGAAGTCTGGATTTCATTGCTATATTTTCCTTCCTCACAGAAGTCATGTTGGCTATAAAATGGTTATACTATTTCTCCTGAACAGAAATGCAGGACATTGTTTACTCATTCTAACTAGCATTATAAAACTCAAAAATTATCTTTCCTTAGATAAGGGGGTGTTATTAATACATTGAGAGAGAGATGTATAATCATCTCTATTTCTGGCACTAATATTCACTTTCTAACTGTAAGGAGATTTGTTTTGCTGCCTCAAATTGTGTGTTAGGCACAAGTTTGCCATACTTACATGTAGTGAGGACTTTAAACTTGTGACCTATTCTTGTAGAATTTCTTTCTATTTCTGCAACAAACTCTGTGAAAAACTGAGGTTCATAGTCAAGCCCCTACCTGGAAAACTATCTTACCCCTTCCATATCTTCTGATGAT